TATTTTATCAGCATGCTTTGAATGATTGAAAAAAAAATAATAATAATAATAAAAATAAAATAAATAAAAATAAAAAATTAATAAATAAAAATGAAGAAACAACAACTTTTTGTTGTTCTAGTTTGACTTTAGCAAAGAGTATTTATCAACTACAATTATGCAACTTTTTTATGGTACAATCACACTTGACATGAGAATGGACTTTATGTATATGTTTATGTGTAAGGCCATCTTCATCCCTTATATCTACTCTAACGCGAATTTTACTCAACTGTAGAGTATAATTGAATATTCGACTCTAACCCTTATCTCTACATTTTAATCTACATCAAATATATAATTTTTCTATTCATTTTTATTTCAAATAAATTGGTATATATATATATGTGTGTGTTGCAAAATTTATTATTTTAATGAAATCTACTTGTTGTATTGTGTTAAATTTTTATTCATATTGTGCCATTTTAATATTCAAAAACTACAAAATAAAATTATGATACATCAATAAATAAAAATAAAAAGTTATTTAACATAAAAATACATTACACAAAGTTATTTAACATATAAAAATACATTTACTAATACAAATTATACAAAATTATCAATAATACTATATTAAAACACATTAAAAACAATAAAAATGTATCGTTAGCTACAGTGTTGCGTCAGAAGTGACGCAACACTTTTCATTTATCTATTCTATCGCAGGAATCTGGCGCAAAATTGGAAGGAGATTTTACCCTAATTTAGCGCAAATACACTGAAGTAGTGACATGTTGGAGAGGCTCTAACAATATAACATTGAAATAAGTATATATTTATTTATTAGTCCGTCAAAATTTCCGGCCCACAGTCCAACCCAATACTTCAATTTTAAATAAAATACATTGTAATAAGTATATATTTACTTCTTAAACTTAGAAAAAATAGTGGTTAAATTTGCTTTGAAAAATAAAGACATTATTTTTTTATATATTCTTATCTTTTAATTTCTTTTTTTTTTTCAGTCACAAAAGTTGTGGGAGTCTATATATATTATATATATATATTTAAATTAACAACGTAATCGTTTAATAAATAATGTTACGTATGTACTTGATCGTAGCATATGTACAAATACAAACAGATTTTAAAAGTTACATGTTTGTGTATATAATATTTATAATCATAAGTTAGATGCCACATTTTATCCATGTTGATAATTAAAGAAATGAATATAAATATAAATAATTTAACTTACACATGAATCACTGGTTGCAATAATGTAATATTTACAATCTTGAGTAATATTGACCAATTAATTTGATTACAAAAAATATTAAAACTATTATTATATGAATTATGAACGAAACTTTAAGGGGTTATTTTGGTTGTGCCATAAAAAATAGTTAACTAATTTTATTTATTTTTTATATAAAAAATGGCTATATAAGTTCAAAATAATAATAATAATAATTGAAAATAATAATTTGAAAATCAATACAATAGATTGTTTTACAGGTATATAGCTTCACATATTATATTGTGTAATTTCATGATTAGTTAGTAGTAGTTATTATGTAATAACATAAAAAAATAATTACTTGATGATACGAAATATAGCGGTTTCTTTTTTCATATTAGCTAAAAAAATGAGCGAGAACAATTTTGTTTTTGCGTTAAATAATTAGTCTACAATTATATATTATATATAGATAATAACAATAACGACAATATATATGGGTTATTATTATTAATATTAATATTATTATTACCATTATTATTATTGTTATTTTTTTATTAGTGTAATTATTTTAGGGCACTGTATATCGTTGACGTGGACTTTTCTGATTGGTACAGACAAAGAGTGTGAT